ATATATATATATATATATATATATATATATATATATATATAGTTCAGGGACAGCTCTCCAGGCCGAGCCCCAGGACTGACCCCTCCCCAAATGAGGATTATAAGAGATCATAACTTTACATAAATGCCAAAAATGATAGGAATTACTATCCATTTTTAAATTATAAGGCTGAAGGTTAATGGTGTCAGTTTTCTAGTCAAAAGACATAGACTGCAAGATTATATTAATGAAACAAGACTCAACCACTTGTTGACTCGTAGAAATACTTACAATAAAAAGGATGGCAGAAGATTATCACCGCAAATGGAGAATAGTCTACTCTATAGGTAGGAGTATAAGTCAGTAAAGCAGCTTTTGGTGAACAGTCTGGTAGTTTTAAGTTGCCACATATTGAAAAATACTTGAAATGTACATATACTATAAATAACCTATCATGTAACTTTTATCTGTATCTTCAGATAAATGCACCTGAATTTAAAAATGGTCATCTCAACACTGTAGTCAACTTTAAAAATTAAAACATTAGTGTGGCATTGATGGCTCATACCTGTAATTCCAGCTACTAAGAAGGCTGAGATACAAGGATTGTGGTTCCAAGCCAGCAAGGACACAAAAACAGGAGAGAGGGCTGGGAAGGTGGCTCACTGGTAGAGCCCTTGCCTTGCATGCCTGAGGCCCTGAGTTCGATTCCTCAGCACCATATAAGAAAAAAGCCGGAAGTGGCACTGTAGCTCAAGTGGTAGAGCGCTAGCCTTGAGCTGAAGAGCTGAGGGACAGCGCCCAGGCCCAAAGTTCAGGCCCCACGCCCGGATCCCAAAAAAAAACAAAAAACAAAAAACAGGAGAGATACCTATCTCTAGTTAACTAATAAAAAGCCAGAATTAGAAATGTAGAAATTATCAAAATAGCCCAGCAAGGAGGGAAGGGATAGTAGGAGAAAAACAAAGAAGGGGGTGACAATGTTCAACAAGAAATGTCCTCATTCCCTTGCTCATGTAACTGTAACCCCTCTGTACAGTATCTTTACAATAAAATTACAATTAAAAAAAAGCCAACCTGGGAAGGTATCTCAGTGGTAGAGTGCTTGCCTTGCATGCATGAAGCCCTGGGTTTGATTCCTCAGCATCATATAAACAGAAAAAGCTGAAAGTGGCGCTGTTGCTTAAGTGGTAGAATGCTTGCCTTGAGCTGAAGAGCTGAGGGACAGCGCCTAGGCCTAGAGTTCAAGCCCCAAAACAGGGGGTGGGGGGGAGGGAAGCCAAAAAAGCCAAGCAAGAGCATGAGGCCATGAGTTCAAGCCCCAGTACTGGCACGTGCCTGCCCACACATGAGCACACACACACACACACACACACACAATCACAACATTCATTATCATCTAAAAATAAATAAATAGTGTTATATTTATCAGCACATTATTACAGAACAAATGGATATTCTTTCCTAGTTGGGAAGAAAAACAAAATAATCACCTGAGCTAATGTTAAAATTTTAAAGATCTGGAATTTGTGTCAGTAAATATAAAACAAGGGTAGATGCTTCAGTTGGCCTGTTTTGATGGTAATTTTGAAAATAAAGCTTTGACACAGAATGTTCACACATTGCCTGAGAATTCTGAGTTTCTTCCCAGATATTTCCAAGGAGAGTGATCTTGGCTTTTGACATCACAATATTGAGAAGGTCAATTAATTCAAATTTTGAGTGTCAAGAATCCTGAACAGACAGTGGAAAGGAATCTATCACAAGGCCATTCATTTAAGAACAGTTGATCAGGGGCTGAGAAGGTGACTCAGTGGTAGACCGCTTGCCTTGCATGCATGAGTGTTCGATTCCTCAGCATCACATGAGCAGAATAAGCCAGAAGTGGCGCTGTGGCTCTAGTGGTAGAGCACTAGCCTTGGGCTGAAGAGCTGAAGGACAGCGCCCAGGCCCAGAGTTCAAGCCCTATGAAAAAAAGAACAGTTGATTATTACACAGAATATCTAAGGAGGCTACACCAAGAACCACCCAAGCCAAGCCAACACTGGGCAAAACTAATGAAGGATCCTGGGGGCCACTTTTGACTCAATGCCAAGACTGCTACTTGAATTAATTTTCATTTGTGCCTCCTCAGTTTCACTCAGGAGTGAGAGGTGAGAATATCTCCACTTGGATTTTTTTTTTTTAGTACTTGTTGTGTTGTTTTTTTCTTGCAGAGCTGATGACTGAATTCAGGGCCTTGCACTTGCCGGGCAAGTGCTCTTCAACCAAACTAAATGTCCAACTCCTCCACTTGGATTTTTATATGAAAGTTAGGGCCCCAGGTTACACTAACATAACACTCAAAAACAGTCATTCAAAACAGGACGTGAATACTTCTCAACTTGCCCTTTCCCAAACATAAAAAGTCAAAATCTAAGTGGTTTGAGGACTATATCTGTGTTTCCTTTTTCCCTTTCCCTGCCAACCCCTCCCCCGCCCCCCCTCCAGGTTCTGGACCCTTCCCTGGGATCATAGACCTGTATGGAGTTGGAGGAGGCCTTCTGGAGTATCGAGCAAGTCTGCTGGCTGGGAAAGGTTTTGCTGTGATGGCGCTGGCTTATTACAACTATGATGATCTCCCCAAGAATATGAAGATTCTCCACCTGGAGTACTTTGAAGAAGCTGTGAGCTACCTGCTCAGGCACCCTCAGGTTGGTTGAGTTGTTTTTTTTAGTGTTTTGGTTTAGTGTTTTGGAGAGGTTGTTGTTGTTTTTTGTCGGTCATGGGGCTTGAATTCTGGGCCTGAGCACTGTCCCTTTGCTCTTCAGCTCAAGGCTAGCTCCCTACCACTTGAGCTACAGCGCCACTTCTGGTTTTCTGGTGGTTTATTGGAGGTAAGAGGTTCACTGACTTTCCTGCCCGGGCTGGCTTTGAATGTGATCCTCAAATCTCATCCTCCTGAGTAGCTAGGATTACAGGCATGAACAACCGGTGCCTGGCTAGATAGGAGAGTTTTAAATATCTTCCCTAGCCAAGGTTAAATCTGCAACTCACTCATCTGAAGATGTCCTATGACAAAATCAAACATTTAGTCTTTTCCAAAATTCACAAGAAATGCACATTTCTTTTTTCTTTTCTTTTCTTTTTTGGTCGGTCATAGGGCTTGAACTCTCTTGGGTTCTGTCCCTCAGTTCTTTAGGTCAAGGCTAGTGCTCTACCAACTGAGCCACAGCACCACTTCTGGTGGCTAATTGGAGATAAAAGTCTCATGGAGTTTCCTGTCCGGGCTGGCTTTGAATTGTGATCCTCAGCTCTCAGCCTCCTGAGTAGATAGGATTACAAATGTGAGACACCAGTGCCAGGCAGAAATGTAAATTTCTGAGTCAGGATGATATCATGGGAAATAGACCATTTGTGTGCCCAGATGGTTTCTGTCTTTAGGGAAATTAAGCATCCTGTCCAAAACTGAGGGTTTCCTAGGAGAGGCTGTTTGGTGCATTTCCCTCATGATTAGGGATGTTGACTAATTTCTTTTTTCAAATACCTGTTGGTCATTTGGGTGTTTCCGTAAGGTTTGTTGATCATTTTAAAATATATTATTTTGGACATTTTTGCTTTTTTTAAAAAAAGGGGGGATTCCTCACATATTCTAGATATCAACTCTTTTTCAGATGAAGACTTAGCAAATATTTTCTCTCATTTTGTGGGTTGTCTTTTTTATTAAGTGCTGTTCAAAGCTTTTTAATTTGCTATAATCTCATGTCTATTTCCAATGATTTTAGGATCTTTTCCAAAGAAATCTTTGTCTATTATAGTATCCTAAAGCATTTCCCCTCAATTTTCTTCTAGTAGCCTCATAGGTTCAGGTCTTACATTTAAGCATTTCCTTTGGGTTTTCTTCTATTTATATACATTAGTTTCTTGTACATACACACACACAGTTGTACAAGGGAAGAGGCTCCCTTTTGACGTCTCCATACAGGCATTCAATGTATCTCAATTAAACTCCCCCTCCCAATAACACTTTCCTTTCCCCCACTCCTCATTTCTTAGAATATTTTCAACACATTCTATTGTTCTATTAAAATGTTTTTGAGCCAAATACTGGTGGCTCATGCCTGCAATTCTAGCTATTCAGGAGGCTGGGATCTGAAGCCAGCCCTGGCAGGAAAGTCTGTGAGACTCTTATCTCCAATTAACCACCAGAAAACCAGAAGTGGCATTATGGCACAAAGTGGTAGAGCACTAGCCTTGATCAAAAGAGCTCAGGAAAAGTACCCAGGCCCCAAGTTAAAGCCCTATAACCAACAAAAGAAATGTGTTTTTTTCCTTTTTAAATTATATTTAAGTAATTATACCAAGGGCTTTCACCTCAGCTTGTCAGTTGATGAGTATAATACATTATACCACGGGCTTTCACCTCAGCTTGTCAGTTGGTGAGTATAATACATTATACCATGGGCTTTCACCTCAGCTTGTCAGTTCATGATTATAATACATGTTGATAAACAGAACCCTTGTTGTTCTGTCTTCATAATGCAAATAAACTATTTTGACCCATATTCATTATTTACCTTCATCATGAGCCCTTCTCCTCCTATTTGAATGCTGCTCCTCACTCCAACAATATTCAATCCATTTTGGTATGATTGTCATAATGTGAAGAAGAAGGTTCAATTTCTTTTCTTTTCTTTTCTTTTTTTTTTTTGGATCCAGTCATGGGGCCTGAACTCTGGGCCTGGGCGCTGTCCCTCAGCTCTTCAGCTCAAGGCTAGCACTCTTCCACTTGAGCCACAGCGCCACTTCCGGCTTTTTTCTTTTTTTGCTTATGTGGTGCTGAGGAATCGAACCCAGGGCCTCTGGCATGCAAGGCATGCGCTCTACCACTGAGCCACCTTCCCAGCCCAGAAGGTTCAATTTCTTTCTCCATGTGCATATCTAATTCTCACAGCTCAATTTCTTAATGAGGCTATCTTTTGAACTTTGACTTAAAAAATACATTGGGGGTGAACAAATGAAGCAATGATATTCACTGGACACTATGTTGAAAATGAACCCTACAACTTGTGGGTAGGATGGGAGGGAAAAATTGGGAGAGAGTGAGTGAAAGGGTGACATTGTCCCAAAGAAATACCCTCTTTACCTGACTTATGTAACTGAAACTGCTCTGTATATCACCTTTATAATAATAATAAAAACTATTTTTAGTTAATTGGGCTGGGCACTGGTGGCTCAAGTCTGTGATCCTAGCTGCTCAGGAGACCGAGATCTGAGAACTGCAGTTCAAAGCCAGCCTGGGCAATAAAGTGAAACTTTTCTCTACAATTAACCATCAGAAAATTGGAGGTGGAGCTGTGGCTCAAGGTGGTAGAACACTAGTCTTGAGCAAAAAAGCTCAGGGTCAGTGCCCAGGCCCTGAGTTCAAGCCCTACAACCAACCCCCCAAAATAAAATCAATTAGTTATAGTTCCATGAGTTTACTTTTCTACCTTGTTCCATTGGGCTGTGTGTCTGTATTTATGCCAATACCCTGCTATTTTGATTACTATATCTTTGTTATATATTTTGAAGTCAGTAAAGATGGCTTTGGCTATTTAAAGTTTTGTGAAATTAATGCTTCTTTTTAAAGCCAGGATATTGCTAAAGCCCAGATTCAAAGTCAGTTCCACCTGACTTTCAGGGTGGTCTCAAGACCACTCACTCTACTATACTATGTATGGACTCATCCTCCTTCATTTTCTCTGTCCTGGTCCCAGGTAAAAGGCCCAGGAATTGGGCTGCTTGGGCTTTCCAAAGGGGGCGAACTCTGCCTCTCTATGGCCTCTTTCCTGAAGGGCATCACCACTGCTGTCATCATCAATGGCTCTGTGGCCAATTCTGTAGGAACCCTGTGCTACAAAGATGAGACTTTGCCCCCTGTGGGCATTAACCTAAATCGAGTAAAGATGACCAAAGATGGCATCGTGGATGCTGTGGATATCATAATGAGTCCTTTGGAAGGACCTGGCCAGAAGAGCTTCATTCCCGTGGAAAGGTCTGACACCAACTTCCTGTTCCTTGTGGGTCAGGATGATCACAACTGGAAGAGCGAGTTCTATGCAAATGAGGCCTCTAAGCGCCTGGAGGCCCATGGGAAGGCAAAGCCCCAGATCATTCTTTACCCTGAGGCAGGGCACAACATTGATCCCCCTTACTTCCCCTTGTGTAAATATTCCCTGAATCGCCACCTGGGGGGTTTCCTCTGGGGGGGAGAACCCAAGGCTCATGCAGTGGCCCAAGTGGATGCTTGGAAGCAAATTCAGACTTTCTTCCACAGACACTTGGGTGGTACAGAGGGCACAATTCCAGCAAAACTGTAATTGTTATTTGACTAAGTGACACGTCCAATGTTGATCTCTCCTGGGAATAGCTACTGCTATTAGTGAGTGTATTTGCATTATTTTTTCTTTTGAATGACAAAAGTGTTTCCTCATCAGAGTAGAAATGAATTTACCAATAAAATAAGTTTCAAGATAAACAAAATTGCAGATGTTTTCAGTTTGGATAAACAGAGATGGAGATAAAGATCAAGATAGGTAGATACAGTTATTGGTAGAAAAAAAGGGGTCAGGGGCTGAGAAGGTGGCTCAGTGGTAGAGTGCTTGCCTTGCATTCCTGAGGCCCTGGGTTCGATTCCTCAGCACCACATAAGGAAAAAAAGAAAAAAAGTGGTGTCATTCATCTGTCATTTCACTTTTGCAAGAAGCTTAAATAGGAGGAATACAGTCAGGACTGGCTGCCTAGGCAAAAAACAAAAATAACCTAAGCAAAACGGGCCAAGGTTAGGTATTTATCTACTTACTAACGTAGCTGCAAATTCCTAAGACACTGTAGAAGTTTAAAAAGAAAACCAGGTATGGGTGACACCTATAATTCTAGCTACTCACGAAGCAAAGACCTGAAGATCAAGGTTTGAAGCCAGCCCAGGAGGAAAGACTCTTATCTGAGTTAACCAACAAAAAGCCAGAAGTTGGGCTGGGAATGTGGCTTAGTGGTAGAGTGCTTGCCTAGCATGCATGAAGCCCTGGATTCGATTCCTCAGTACCACATAAACAGAAAAGGCTGGAAGTGGTACTATACAGCTGAAGTGGTAGAGTGCTAGTCTTGAGCAAAGGGAACTCAGGGACAGTGCCCAGGCCCTAAGTTCAAGCCTCAGGATTGGGAGGAAGAGGAAGAAGAAGAAGGAAGAAAAAGAAGGTGGAGGAGGAAGGGGAAGGAGGAAGAAGCGGAGGGGGAAGAAGGGGGTGGAGGGGGGAAGGAGAAATAGCCACCGGAGAAGAAGAAGAAGAAGGGGGAGGGGGAGGAGCAGCCGCAAGAAGTGGAAGTATGGCTCAAGAGTGCTAGCCTTGAACAGAAAGAGACAAGACCTCAAGACCCTGAGTTCAAGCCCCAGTACACACACACACACACACACACACACACACACACACGTTTAAGTGCTATGGTTTGAATGTGGATAGTATTTCTCAAAGGTTACACGTTAAAGGCTTGGTCGACTGGGGGAGGCTGTTGGGATGGATTGGAATCTCTGAGAAGTAGCTACTGGGAGGTCTTCATTCTATATATGCCCATTATTCAGGCACCTAAGGAATTGCAACGGGAATCCAAAATGGACAAGTTAAGATCTCAGGGTCTCTGAGACAAATTTTTTTGTAATTGAGCTTTCCAATGAGGCCACGAAGGTCATAAAATGTCCCAGAATTTTTTATTTCAATTTTTTGGGTTGGTCCTGGGGCTTGAAACTCTGGGCCTAGGTACTCTCCTTGAACTTCTTTTGCTCAAGGCCAGCATTCTACCACTAGAATCACACCACTACTTCTTGCTTTTTTGAGTAATTTATTGGCGATAAGTCTCATGAGTTTCCTGCCCAGGCTGGCTTTGAACTGTAATACTCAGATCTCAGCCTCCTGAGTAGCTAAGATTAGAGGCATGCGCCACCAGTGCCCAGTTCCCGGTATTTTTTGGAAGTACTCCACTTACCTAAGGATTAAGGCTATGATTCATTCCAGCCTAAAGTGGCTCAACAAATAGTTCTACAACAAAAGATGTGTAACTTGCCTAGCCATACTGGTAAGGCAGGTCCTAGAGGTCAAATGTAACTCAGCAGTGATTCTGCCCTGTGGGCTGGTTGATTGGGGCTTGGCTTAGTGCTCCAGAGCTCCTATCTTCTGCCTTCTCTCTGCTGTCATCCTGGAATCAAGAAAAGATTGGGCCACCTGCCAGCTGTTAAAGGCTCTCATCATAACAAAACCAGATCAATTCTGAAACATTGGAGTATCACACTGCCTATTTCTACCTCCAAACCGGCCTGGGACTTAGGCTATTTTAACTATGCCATTCCTCCCAATACCCTCGATGTAACCAGGGGTTAGAGGTACCCCAGAAGGCCAATGATGGCAAAAGAGAACCTAAGATACTGTCTTCATGTGGCACATGCATGCCTTGTAATCTTTTTGTCTGCCCTATTTGTCTCATCATAAACTTTCCTGCCACATTTACTATGCTCCAGACTTGATTTAATCCTTCTTGTGGTGGAAGCAAGAGCCTAGGTTGATGAGCTGTGTCCTTGAATGGGATTGTGGGAATCCAATGTCTCAGGCTCTGCCTACTCTCAAACATGCAATGTTTACCCAGGCACAACCCACCATTGTCATCTAGTGTTACCAGAATCACAAAGAAATGGGGCTACAAGATCTTAAACTAAACCTCCAGAACTGTGAGGTAAATAAACATTTTGTCTGAAAGATTATTAGACTTTGCCAGAGAACCAACCACACATACATCCAGGTACAGAGAACAAAGAGATGTTTACTGCCGGGAAAGGGGCCAGCAAGTCTCCTTCTCTGAAGGGAGAAGTGAGAAGAAGCACCAGCTATTGTCTGAGGTGACCTGTATGACCTAGGAGGCTTAGGAGGAGCTAGAAGGGGCTAGGAGGCGGAGAACCCAGTGTGGACGCGTGGGCCAGGGGCTTCATCATGGCAGAATAGGGTATATGGCTGCTGTCCAAATAGTAGATAAGGGGGCCCTGCAGCTGCCCAGACCTGAAGGTCACTCTCAGGGGCTCTTGTGTCCTTATATGGTGGTAGATGCCCAGAGAAGGCCATCCCAAGGTAAAGGGGGTTGAAGTTGATTATTCACTGTCTTTACTACATGGACCTAGTGTTGCCTAGGAAGGGAGCATGCTAAGCTGCAGAGAAAAGAAGGAGTGTAGTAAGCTATGGGAAGGGAGCTCATTTCCCTAACATTGTCTTTATAAGTAAAGGGCCTCAGGTATTTCATTGAAGTAATGTGAACCAGACAAGTACCCTTGGGAGAAGGGAGAATGCATGAGAGCCGTTTTTGTGGAACTTGGCATCGATCATTTTCTGGCTTCCCAAGCTTGCTTATGTGATATGCATGTACCTAAGTGTGTGGGGGAAGACTGGGGGGGGGGGGGAGAAGGGGGAGGACGGGCTGTTGAACTTGAGAAAATTCATTGAACTGGTCACATGGGTTTACAATCTTTGGTATGTAAATTGTCTATGCTTTGAACAAGTCCTTCAAAGTTTGTGCGTCGGACACTTAGTCCCCAATACCATCACAGTGAGACTTAGGACTCCAGATATGAGAGATAAAGTCAGGAGAACAGAGCCTTGAAGAATGGGTTAATGCCCTTACAGATGGAGTCCTGTAGTCATCCCTAGAATGGGTTCCTGCTAAAAAGATGTTAGGTCTCACCATTTTGTTAGGCTATTGGGAGGGGGCGTGAGGGGGCTGTTGGGGATTGAACCCAGAGCCTGGCCCATAGTAAGCACACGCACACTACTACTGAAATATACCTCCACTGCCTCTCCACCATACCTTTCTTGTGTGTTTCTTTTATCCTTCCACCATAAGATGATGCAGAAAGAAGTCCCTCACCAAAAAGGGACTCTTCAACTTGGCCTTCAGAACTCTAAGAAATAACTTCGTCTTCTTTATAAATTGCCACACCTCAGGCATTCTGTCATGACAGTCACAAAAGAATCTAATACAGAGGCTGGGAAGGTGGCTCCGTGGTAGAGCGCTTGCCTTGCATGCCTGAGGCCCTGGGTTTGATTCCTCAGTACCACATAAGCAAAAAGAAAAAAGTCAGAAGTGGCGCTGTGGCTCAAGTGGTAGAGCGCTAGCCTTGAGCTGAGGGACAGCACCCAGGCCCAGAGTTCAGGGCCCATGACCAGACCCCCCATTCCCCCCCAAAAAAAAATCTAAGACAAACTTTTACTTCATTGAAGCTTCCCCCCCCCTTTTTTTTCTTTTCTTTTCTTTTTTTTTTGCTGGTCCCAGGGCCTGGGCGCTGTCCCTCCGCTCTTCAGCTCAAGGCTAGCACTCTACCACTTGAGCCACAGCGCCACTTCCGGTTTCCTGATGATTAATTGGAGATAAGAGTCTCAGGACTTTCCTGCCAGGGGCTGGCTTTGAACCGCGATCCTCAGATCTCAGCCTCCTGAGTAGCTAGGATTACAGGTGTGAGCCACCGGCGCCCAGCTTTAAAGAAAAAAAATTTTTTTTCAACTATTAGTCAATCCATGATGGAGCTGGACCCGGGCTTGCCCTCGCTGGCATCCGGCGTCACCACTAATAGATTACTCAGTAGTTTCCACTGCAGCACGTGGAGCGTGTTGAGAGGCAGACATCCTTTTCCGGGAGAGGCTCCATGCCCTGAGCACCGGGAACCGCCCCCGCGCCGCCCCCAGCCGGCCGCCAATCGCCGACCAGCGGCCTGTGGACCCTGACCTGCCGGCCCCCTCCCGGGCCTGCTCAGGCACCCCGCGCTCCCGGGTCCGGGGCTGGGACTCACGGGGTGCGCTCGCTACGACCTCGCAAGGGCTCTGGTGGCCGGGCTTCGAGTCCCGCATGGCGGCACCCAGGGTGGTGGTGGAGCCCGCGGGCCGCGTGTGCTGGGACGAGCCGGTGCGCATCGCCGTGCACGGCCTGGCCCCCGAGCAGCCCGTGGCGCTGCGCGCGTCCCTGCGCGACGAGAAGGGCGCGCTCTTCCGGGCCCACGCGCGCTACCGCGCCGACGCCCGCGGCCAGCTGGACCTGCAGCGCGCGCCCGCGCTGGGCGGCAGCTTCGCGGGGCTCGAGCCCATGGGGCTCGTCTGGGCCCTGCAGCCCGACAGGCCCTTCTGGCGCTTGCTCAAGCGGGACGTGCAGACGCCCTTGCTGCTGGAGCTGGAGGTGCTGGACGGCCGCGAGCCCGCCGGGCCCGGCGAGCCCGAGGGCGGGCGCGTGCTGGCGCGGGCGGTGCACGAGCGGCACTTCATGGCGGCCGGGGTGCGGCGGGGGGCGGGGGGCGGGGGGCGGGTGCGGGCCACCCTCTTCCTGCCGCCAGGTGAGCTATAGGCCTTTTGGAGTTAGGAGCTGGCTAGGAGCTGGCCGCCGCTGCTCTCCCCGCGGGGCCCCTGCTGGGTCTGGCTCCTCTGCACGTCCTGGGGCCTCCCTACTCCTGGGGGATCTGGGACTGGCAGCGTCTGTGTGGACCACGTCAGTGGCTGCTCCACCAATTCAGAGAGTTTGGCTGTTAGGCCCTGTCCGGTGTCTTTCACTTGTATTACCTCATTTAATAACAGCATCCCAACGAAGTGATCACCATTATTGTGTGTTGTCAAAAGAGGTTCACTTTGCTATTTATTATTGTTCACTGCCTACAGTCCCCGGCCCCCCTCACCTCCCAGCTGCAGGAGTGCTTAGGGGAAATGATGACACCCAAAGAGACAACATGTCCTTCTCTGGTGATCTGGGCATTCTGGGTCTCTGCTTCACTTCTTCACCCATTTCTATCGCACTTAAGGCCTTGCTGCCTTCCTCACCAAAGGCCAACTCCGGTGTTTCATTTTTCTTTCCTCCTACATAGACATCTGGAATGTCAATGAGCGCCACGCGCAAACACACACACACACACACAGGTGGTGGTGGAAAGAGAGGCTGTGGGATACAGTGAGGGTGAGGTTTAGGCTTAGTGTTAGGATTAGGAATAGGGTACAGGTTAGGGTGAGTGTGAGGGTTAGGGTTAGGGTTAGCCTTATGATTAGGCTGAGGGTGAGGGTGAGGGTTATGGATAGGGTTAGGGTGAGAGTTAGGGGTAGGATTAGGGTGAGTGTTAGGGTTCGGGTTAAGTTTAGGGTTAGAGTGAGGGTTAGGGTTAGTGTTTGGGTGAGGTTTAGGGTTAGGGTTAGGGTGAGGGTTAGGATGAGGGTGAGTGTTACAGTGAGGGGGTAGGATTAGGGTTAGGGTGAGGGTTAGGGTTAGGATTGGGGTTAGGGTGAGGGTAAGTTTTAGGGTTAGATTTAGGGTTAGGGGGAGGGTTAGGTCGAGGGTGAGGGTTAGGGTCAGTGTTAGGGTTAAGGTTAGGGGGAGGGTTAGGTTGAAGTTTAGGGTTAGGGTTAGGATTAGGGTTAGGGTGAGGGTATGTGAGGGTTAGGGTTAGGGTTAGGGTTATGCTGAGGGTGAGGGTGGGGGTGTGGATTAGGGTTACGGTGATGGTTAGGGTTAGGGTGAAGGTTAGGATGAGGGATAGGGTTAGGATTAGCTTTAGTGTGAGGGCTAGGGTGAGGGTGAGGTTTAGAGTAAGGTTTAGGCTTAGGCAAACACACACACACACACAGGTGGTGGTGGAAAGAGAGGCTGTGGGACAGAGGCAGCACAACATGCAACTTTCTTTCAAAATCTTCTATATCCAGTCCTCCATCTGTGAGTGGGCATTGCCTGTCACCTCCCTCTGGGATGCATTCCTTAACAAAAGCTTTTACCACTCTCCCTCACAATAACTAAGGATTCTTCAAACCTAGTAGATAACTCATCCAGGAGAAGTTTCTCTGTGTTTTAGGATTTTCTCCCTCGAAGACACTCTTCAGTAGTAATCTGGGGATCATGTCCTCTTACCTTTGATTCATAGGAATTCACTAAATAACTTAGGAAAGTAGCCAGGCACAGGTGGCTCATGCTTGTAATCTTAGCTACTCAGAAGGCTAAGATCTGAGAATCACAATTCAAAGCCATCGCAGGCAGGAAAGTCCTCAAGACTCTTTTCTCCAATTAAATCACAGAAAAAGCTAGAAGTGGCACTGCGGCTCAAGTGGTAGAGTGCTAGCCTTGACCAAATGGAGCTCAGGGACAGCACCCAAGCCCAGAGTTCAATCCTGAGGAATGGCAAAATAAATAAATATTTTTTTTTTAAATCTAGAAGTGTTGCTGTAGATGAAATGCTAGAGCACTAGCTTTGAGCAAAAGAAGCTCAGGGAGAGCACCCAGGTCCTGGCAAGAAAAGAAAAGTGTCTAAACAGAATGTATATTCTTTAAGTTACATAATGCCTCCATTATAATATTCCTTTTTTTTTTTTTAGGCCATGGACCTTTCCCAGGGATCATTGACATCTTTGGACTTGGAGTGGGCCTGTTGGAATATCGAGCTAGCCTTCTGGCTGGCCATGGCTTTGCCACATTGGCTGTGGCTTTTTCTAACTTTGAGGACCTCCCCAAGGATTTTCATTGCTTATCGTTGGACTACTTTGAAGAAGCCCTGTGCTACATGCTCCAACACCCCCAGGTGTGCCGCCTGCTTTTTATTGAACTAGTCTCTAGGAATCTCTCCATGAAGGGCGTTACTTGTACCAGGTGCACTAAAGCTGCTCTTTTTCCTTTTCCCCATACATTTCTTTTGGAGATTTCCTTAGTTTCAGCCATCTAATAGTTCCCTCTATCAAATGGATCCATGTTGTAGAATGAATTGTAAAACTGATGCCAAATCTCAATAACATTGGGATTTCTCTTGTAATACAAATGATGAGCTTCTCCTCAGCTTTGCCTGCTTGCTTTTTAAAAATACATTGGAGTATTTTCAGTGTATTTTATTTTATTTTTTGGGTCTGGTCGTGGCGCCTGAACTCTAGGCCTGGGTGCTGTCTCTCAGCTCTTCAGCTCAAGGGTAGCACTCTACCACTTGAGCCACAGCGCCACTTCCGGCCTTTTTTTTCTTCTGCTTATGTACTGAGGAATCAAACCCAGGGCCTTAAGCATGCAAGGTGAGCGCTCTACCACTGAGCCACCTTCCCAGCTTTTCAATGTATTTTAATGTATGTTTCATAAGTCAGGTAGTAAGTACATTTCTTTTTGGATAATGTCCCGCCTTCCTTGGCCCTTCTTTCCCCACCCACTAGTTGTTCGTTTTCAACATTGTGTCTAATGAGTACCACTGCTGCATTTGTTTTTAACCTTTACTTTTCTGGCATCAGAGTATCTTTCCACATTCTGATCTGAATGTTCCTTCTTCTCCTCTGAGGCTAAGAATTCCTGAAGTGGACTCTCACATCCTGCTTTGCTTTCTTGAAGTTAATTATTTGCTAATATATTTGGATAGGGGCTGATGAGTGTTTCACAGCTTGCAATAGAACTCAATTTGACACGGTTGAGTATCAAGTCACATAAAGACATTGATCAGGGCTGGGAAGGTGGCTCAGTGGTAGAGCGCTTGCCTTGCATACCTGAGGCCCTGGGTTCATTCCTCAGCACCACATAA